ATAGAAAGTCAAGGTTTTCATCTATCAAATGATGTATAGTATAACGTTGTGTTCTGAACAGAATATCATCAATTTCACTAACAGTACAAGCAACATTCCCGTGGAAAGTTAACGACTAGCTTGGGTGAATTTGTAACGGCTCTTGTTGCATAGTTAGAAAGCCAGGAAAATTTTGAGAGGTAAGTGAATTTGTCTACTTTTTACATGTTATTAGTCTATATTCTTTGGTGTATTATTTAATTAAATAAAAATTGTTAAGTGCTTTACTATAATGACTAAACAATCAGGCTTAACACTCCTCAACAATGGAGGGCAAAAAAAAGAAGATTGGGTAAGTATTTTATTTCTTGTTTTTCATATTTATTCTTTATTTATTATTATTAAAGTAACTAAAATTTAAAGTACAGATCTTTTTAAGTTTTTAAGACTAGATTAGGTAAAATAAGTAATAATAATAATATAATTAAAATGGTTCACGAGGCACGTACACGAGCATCTCGTGGGTAATGTAATTCTTTAGCGTAACGTGAGCTGCATGTTCCGCTAGTGATTTACAATTTCTAATGGCATGATTAGTAATTAAACATATTTCAAATGGCAATAAAACAATAAAATTTAATTATAAATAGATGTATACTGTTACAAACTTAGAGCTACTTAGGATAAACGAATGTAGTTTCATGTTACAATTTGAAGTCATTCTAGAAAGAAAAAAAGAGTAATTTAGGTTTATTTCAATTGTTTTTGGTGGTTATGAGGTCAGTCGAATTTACCGATCCCATTTTGAGATAGGGTAGAGAAAATAACATATAAACTATAAGGATTTAGTGAAAAAAAATGTTTGAAATGCATTCAGGAGGTATTATGGATTACACACAAAGAAAATTTGAGATTTTTGAGATGAGGAAAAGTACTTTTCATTTTAACACGAAAATGAATTTGCACATGGACTATTCAAAACAAATTCTCAATATATTCTTGGACAAATCTTTATTTTATTTATAATACTTCATTAAGAAATATGAGTTGTTGTATGTGAAAGACTTGTAATATTAACTGAAAGACTGCCAAATTTTGTGAAGATATACCCAATATATTGAGAATTATAAGTATTAAATTTATATCAACTTTAAACAAGTACAAAAGATCACGTGACTTGGGCAAATTGACTAACCCCGTGTTGAGAGAGTTAACTAGTATGCTGTTCGATGATGGTACATTAGCTAATAAGCTAATGGATAATGGTATGTTGTAACGGTGTAAGCTGACATGCCACTACAACCACAGTTCAACAAAAAAATATTTTGTTAAACTCTAACAACACTTGGAATGAAATTTAGCACTTACCAGAAACACAGTTAATAAACTCATGCCTGGCCAGGACTTGATACTAATGTAAATTAACAATAAAGCATAAATATCAACATTAATTATTTCAAATAATTGAATCAGGAAAAAGAACCAGAAGAAGAAAACCTAATTCCAAAAAATAACACTACACAATATTTAGTGACAAACAGCACTAATTCACTATCTCATGACTCAGCTAATGAAGCTTATCCCCTATGACTACATGTCCCACAATCGACATAACCTAACGTCACTGTCATTATTTTTGTTTCCAAAATTAAAAGTAGTGGGTCAAATTGTTTGAAATTTGACTACAACCTTTCTAAAAGTATGTAGTTTCAGAAAAATGAAATATTTAATTTTTGATTTTTTTATACAATTTCTAATAAGAAAGTAATTATTTAATTTTATTTGCACTCGGACACTGAATAGTTGACCTGCTAGGTAATTTTCATTTTGAGTATAAAAATAGTATTTATTATTTTACAGTTTTCACATTTCATTTGCATAATTTCTAGAACCTCCTAAATGAATATCTAAAGTTTTATTGAGGTAAATGTTTATATTTTATTCTCCTTTTTTTTTTACCATGTCACTAACTGTAGCTATTGTCATCAATGTATAGTGCTTTGAAATGTTTAAAATTAAGAAACTTAAATATATACATACCTTTTATCTCTTCATTGAATAATCTTAAAATATCTTCTTTGGGTCATATGTGTAATTTCACATTCCTTTTCAGTTATAATTTATTTTTAATGTTTTATTTTACTTTCCTGTAATTTGGCTTTTATTATTTATGTCAAAATGTATACCAGTGCCTGTGGGCCACTATAACATCATGATTGCCAGAGATGCATTAGCCGCAGGCAAAATGGTTTGCAAATGTCTATTTCTATTAGTGTTCACAAGCAAGGTGTGACAGGTTAACTTAAAAAAATCAGTTAACCTTCCAAGTATGAATTTTAAAACACAAATAAAATATAATTTACTACAATATAAAAGTAAAACCTAAATGCAGTTTAACTGTTTAGCAAACTGACATGTATAAGGCAAGAAAAAATTGTCAAGCTCTAGAGACACCAATCTAAACAATGGACAAGAGGCAGTTCCCTTGTTGTTTCAAAAAGTAATTTATGTACTATGTTTCTTTCTAGCCTGGAGAAATTAAGTGTAGAGTCTGTTCTTTCTCATGGTTATAACCATGCCATTGAAGTCCAGAAAAGACTAATCAAAGACAAAAGTCTAAAGTACTGATAAATGTTGCCCCTGACAAAGCAATCAAAATATCACTTATATGAGGAAATGGATAGCAGTCATATTCTGAGACTTGATTTAACTTC